AGCCCGAGAGATGTTTTATTACACGAAACAAGAACAATGACAACTGTAACTACATCTCTCGTGATTCACGAACCATGAGACTTTACTCCATGGCAGCCCTCTTCTTTCGAGCATTTTCAAAGTATTCCTTCTTTCACACCTCATGAGCAAACACTTCGGCTATGATTGTTTCATGATCCGTTCCCATTGCATCCCTTGAGAGACCTCGTCTTTCCATGTCATCTAGTTCAGCCATAACCTTAGCTTTAGCACCGACATAAAGAGTTCGGTATTTTTCTTCATTTTTCAATTGTGGCACAAGTTGCACAAGCGAGTAGAATTCAGAAACACATAGTGCTTTGGTAGATACATCGGATGATGATCCCTTCACTAGTGAGCTTTCGGGTTTATGACGAGAGTCATTTTTGAACCCAGACAAACTTCCAGTTGTAAGAGCTATTTCTTTCCCTTTATCCATAACACTAAGTTGTGAGGAGTGAGTCCATAATTCCCAAGAGGATCCTTTATATAGAGAGTTAGATGTGTCAAAAGATGTGACCCGAATGACTAGTCATAGATACGGAGAGCACGCTTGAGGAAATATATTCATTTCCAAGAAAGGTAAGCTTAGTCCGAGATATACTGTGATGGGTGTGAACAAAACAAATAAAGTTTCGTTCATCACTTTAACAAATTCAAAAATTTTGAAACCAAGACTTTATTATTCATTAAAACGAGAGAAACAAATACAGATGATAAGATACATAATCCGAAGGATTAGTTTTTCTTTCTCTCGTTTGCCTTGCCCTCAGATGGCTCAGCCTTCGGCTTTTTCAGATCAGCCCACATACGTTTGTACCATTTTCCGGTACGCAGATAGTTGGAGCCCGAGGACGACTCTGGTTTTTCTTCATCAGCCTTTGGCTCACATTTGAACTCTTCTTTCAGAAAATCCATGTAGTCTTGATCATAGTACTTACTAGGATCAGCAGGGGTTGTCTTATTTGGAGGAACAACTTCTTTTGGAGGGTTTTCTTCGGGCTCCTCGACAATGAAGCCAGCCATATCATCATACAGAGATGATGTTTCAGTATCAGATGAGATCTCTACGGGGGCTTGAAGGCTATTGCCTGGATACATGTCTCCCTGTTCTTCTCTTATTTTCCTGGCGAGTTCTCTTTGTTTGCGAGAATCTCCCTTTGTAAAAGGCTTTTTAGGAACCATTTGTGAAGATGAGGATGGTAGAGAAGAGTGAGATATGTCCCCCCTTTTATAGGTAGATTTTGAAGAGATGACGATGTGAAACTTCCCACAGCATTCAATGCTGTAATTAATGACCATGTATTTCTTCAACTGACCATTAATGATGTAGAAGACTTTGAATGGATATTTTCAAGAATATCATAATTTTAGGGTCAGTGAGATGATTCCAAGGTATTCAAGCAGACAGTCAGAGATTGATGCCAGAAAATCTTCATTAATTAAAAACACGAGACATATATGGATAGAAATACATAATTCAAGGATGATAATTGAACATATAACAATGGAACTTTCATTTCTTTCCCTTCCCTTTCTTCGTGTTACTGGTTTCGCCCTTGATGACCTTAGAAACTTTCTTTGATGTAGGGGCTTTTGAACGCGGTGGTCCACCGTCAGGATGCATTTCCTCATCAGATTCTCCTTCAATATACCCCACAAGATCAGATTTGCATTCATAATGTCGATAGAAGTCCCTAAGATCTCTGTCCATAGTGAGATCGTTCCAGGATTCCAGTGTCAAGAAGCCCTTCCTAACAATTAGAGGGGGTTCCTCATTGGGATCAAAAGACCTGGCATCTCCATCAGCATCTCTTTTGATGAATTCATCAAAATCCTCACTTTCAGAGTCGGATGAAATATTCAGAGGATTAATAGGATTGTTTCCAGGATTATGATTGCCTTGTTCACCCTCTTCTGGATGAGCTCGGGTCTTTCTTGACACTTTCTTGGTGATTGAAACTTTAGGAGCCAATGGTGATGAGAGGGATGCATTTGAGAAAAACCAATGTCCTCCTTTTATAGCAATTTGAGATGAGAATTAATGCCTTAACCAATAGGAGAGTCTATGGTTCCTGAAGAGCCAATTAGCATTAAATTCATGCCTTCATTGTCATTTTTGAGACGATTAAGAGATAGTACTTTATGACATAATTCCATCTTTGACCCGAAAGAGATAGTCTGACATAAAAGATTCATGGTCAAAAGCGTAATTAACAAAGCAAATAAGGATAGATAGATTCATTGAGATACATCAGGCCATACAGATAGAAACAACATAGCTCAAAGAAAACGATAAGGCACGTGAAGCTCCAGACGAGTCAACTAATCAGTCACGTCAGACACATTTGTCTTGTTTGCATACTCGTCCAGTTCCTCTAGAGAGAGGGTGGGCGTCGTTGGGTTAGTTGGTGACTGAGAGTGAACTAGATTGAAGTCTTCATAAGACTTTTCACTCTTTTGTGGAGCCTCAGCAACTGGGTACCAACGAAAGGTGTGTGGGTGAGATGAGTGCTTGTTAGCGTTGTTCAAAGCCATCTTCCTTTCGTTAGCCAATTGTTTTGCCTGTGCCAGACATTTGTCTTTCATGGCCAGAGATTCGTTGACAACTTTGTCCTGGATTTTTCTTTCTCTCGGGGTGGCCGAGTTTGGCATGGTGAATGTTACGTGGACCCTATCACCATCTTCCACTATCTTCGTTATTATGGCACTTGTCAATTTGCCTGCTTCTCGAAGATGATGATCACGTCGAATAGCTCGAGCCTCGGCCTCGTCCACCTTTCCTTTACCCTTATCCATACCTGCAAACTTTTCTTACTAAAGAACTGAATGTGTGAGTGAAGTTTATGAAGAGGGATTCCAATTTATAGGCACAAGTGTTGCGTGCGAATCTTGTTATAATATTTTGGATACTGATGCCTCATTTCGTGTTAAAGACGTTGTCAGAAGATTTGTGAGAGACGAGAAATTGAAATGATTCATTTAAGAAACGAAATATATTTAAATATAACAAAAGCACAGCTTATCATTATAGCCCAATGAGATTTTCAGGTCTTTTTCTTCTTGCTTCTAGCTGTGGATTTGAGAGGAGACGGCAATTTTGGAGGGGTGCTTGATGGTGAATAGTCAAAACTATCACTCCGTTCCAACACGCTATCTTCCTTTGCATACCCTATGGTATTGCCGACGAAGTGAAATGATTCTCTTGATTCATTCTCCGTTGGATCTCGTAGAATGTTTTGTATATGCTGAGAGTATGCAAGGAATTTGTTCAGATCCTCCTCATTCACTAGTGGGTCATGGAAGATTTCGGTTTCTTCCTTTCTTGTCTCGGTGATCGTTGTCTTCGTTTCACTTCCTGTACTCATGTTTGCACACACAAAGACAAAAACTAGATCTCTTGTTAATTATGAGAATTTGATGATAACATGTACCTCCTTTTATAGAGACCTTGCGTGTGATAGGGATTCAAATCTTTTGGGTAGAGCATCGAGGAATATTATGAGAATCTTTGCAGATTTGATTCTCAATGCTTTATGTCATCTCAATCATTCCTATTTCATGCCTTAGAGTAGAGAACCTCGCCTCACTTAAGGGTTTCGTGAGTATGTCCGGAAGTTGATCATCAGTGTTGACATACTCATCAAGAGATATGTCCTTTCTTTCTACATGATCATGAATGAAATGATATTTGATATCGATATGCTTAGTTCGTGAATGTAAAACAGGATTATGTGTGATAGCAATTGCGCTCGTGTTATCGCACTTAATGCTCACTTCTCGTGCATTTATGCCATAATCCTTCAATTGATGTGTCATCCATAGGATTTGAGCACAACAGCTTCCAGCTGCTATGTATTCGGCTTCAGCCGTACTGGTAGCAATAGAATGTTGTTTCTTGCTAAACCATGACACAAGTCTTCCCACTAGGAACTGGCAAGTTCCTGAGGTACTTTTTCTATCAATTCGGCATCCTGCAAAGTCGGCATCCGAATAGCCAACAAGACCAAATGATCCTTCTTTCGGGTACCAAAGTCCAACACTTTGCGTCCCTTTAAGATATCTTAAGATCTTTTTAGTCGCACTCAAGTGACTTTCTTTCGGTTTAGCTTGAAATCTTGCACATACACCAACAGCAAACGAAATGTCAGGTCTGCTTGCTGTTAGGTATAGAAGAGATCCAATTATACCACGAAAGTTTTTCTGGTCCACATCTTTTCCTTCGTTATCAATGTCCATTCTAAGAGATGTGCTCATAGGGATTTTGACAGATGTTTTTCCATTAATCCCAAATTTTCGGATTAAATCCTTGGTATATTTGGCTTGACTAATGAAAATTCCATCTGAGCATTGCTTTACTTGCAATCCAGAAAATAGTTTAGTTCTCCCATCATGCTCATTTCAAATTTACCTTGCATAAGATTTGAGAACTTCTCACATAAGTTAGGGTTCGTACTCCCGAAGATGATGTCATCAACGTAGATTTGTACTAGAAGAATATGGTCGTCATCTTTTATACGAAAGAGTGTCTTGTCTACAGCTCCTTTCGTGAAACCACAATTGATAAGAAAGTATGAGAGTGTATCATACCAAGCTCGTGGAGCTTGTTTTAATCCATAAAGAGCCTTTTTGAGATGATAGACTTTTTCATGGTCATTGTTAACCGCGAAACCAGGCGGTTGCTCAACATATACTTCTTCTTCAAGAAGCCCATTTAAGAATGCACTTTTGACATCCATTTGAAAGACTTTGAAGTCTTTGTAAGCTGCAAAGGCTAGCAATATTCGTATGGCTTCAAGTCTAGCTACGGGGGCGAAGGTTTCATCAAAATCGATTCCTTCCTCTTGACAATACCCCTTAGCAACAAGACGGGCTTTGTTCCTAACAATGAGCCTATCTTCACTCATTTCGTTTCTAAAAACCCATTTAGTTCCAATAACATTCTGATGTGTTGGTCTCGATACAAGTTCCCACACATCATTTCATTCAAACTGATGAAGCTCTTCTTGCATGGCTATTACCCAGTCAGGATCACTTAAGACTTCTTCTATGGACTTGGGTTCTATTTGTGATAAGAAACAAGCCATCATATTTTCGTGCAGAGAGGCTCTTGTTCGTAGTCCTTCTTGAACATTTCCAATCACTTGATCCGGAGGATGATCTCTTAACCATCTAAGATCGGGTTCAAGAATATTTTGCTGATTTTGTGCATCCATTTCAGGAATATAAGGAAGCTGAACGTAGATCATAGGTTCGGATGGTGCTTGAACATCAGGAGTGTTTTGTTGTACGTTGACATTTTCTTGTGTTGTGGTTTCGGGCTCAAAGATCTTCAACTGATATTTCGTGTAGGAAGTTAATATATCTTCTTCATCATCTGAAACCTCTTCTTCATTTGATTGAGGGTTTTGATGTGGATTACTTGATGATTCAATACCAGCTGGATTTTTCTCAGATAGTTCATCGAATTTGACATGAATAGATTCCTCAATTACCATCGTTCGTTTATTTAGAACTCTAAAGGCCTTGCTTATTGAGGAATAACCCATGAACAATCCTTCGTCTGCTTTTTCGTCAAAGGCTCTCAAATGATTCTTTCCATTGTTGTGAATAAAGCACCTACAACCAAAGACATGAAAATAACCAATACTTGGTACTTTACCTTTCCATAGTTCATATGGGGTTTTGTTGTAGGATTTGTTGATTAAGGATCTGTTTTGTGTATAGCATGCTGTGTTTATGGCTTCGGCCCAAAATCGCTTTGGTAGGCCTGAATGTGCGATCATAGTTCGTGCTGCTTCTTTCAGGGTTCTGTTTCTCCTTTCGGCTACTCCGTTTTGTTGAGGAGTTCGTGCTGCCGAGAGTTGATGAAAGATTCCATTCTGTGCACAGAATTCTTTTATGATCTTGTTTACAAACTCAGTTCCTTGATCTGATCTTATCCGAATGATTTTGACTTCTTTTTCTGTCTGAAGTTGCCTCAAGAGATTGGGGAGAACGACTTCTGTTTCGTTCTTTTTCTTCAAGAAAAGCACCCAAGTATATCTCGTGTGATCATCTACTATGACGAGAGTATACTTTCTTCCACTTAGACTTGCTGGATCAACTGGTCCGAAGAGATCCATGTGTAGAAGACTTAATGAACGAGAGTTGGCATCCACATCTTTGGACTTGAAGGATGATTTGATTTGTTTTCCCTTTTGACACGCTTCACAAATTTTGTCTTTTATGTAGGATGCTTCAGGTAGTCCTCTCACAAGATTTTTCTTTGCAAGTTTGTTGATTGTTTTCAGATTTAGATGACTCAACTTGTTGTGCCATTCTTGACTGAGATCTGCATTGCTTTTAGCCACAAAACAAACGTTAGCATTAGAAGAATTCCACGAGATTACGTACATGTTTTTCTTTCGTTGACCAGTTAACGTGATTTTGCCATCCTTCGTGTTTACGATTTTACACTCGTTTTTGGAGAATTCGACTTTGTAGCCTTTGTCGCAAAATTGGCTTGTGCTTAGGAGGTTGAACTTCAGTCCATCAACTTATGATACATCTTGTATGGTTATTCCCTCTTTGATGATGTCTCCTTTTCCACGAGTCTTGCCACTGTTTTCTCCTCCAAATATGACTTTAGGTCCATCGACTTCCTTGAAATTACTCAACATTGTTTTGTCACCAGTCATATGTCTTGAGCACCCACTATCGACACACCATATGACTTGTTTGTCCTGCAAGAAAGATTATGTGTTTTTAGGTACCCCTTGAGTTTCGGGTCCCTGAGGGTTAGATGTCAGCTTTGGAATTCACATGAACCTAGAGTTTCCTCGACTCATCCTCGGTCCCCTATACCCATTAGACGTGCGGTAATCATAATGGATACTGGCAAAGGTTTTAGCATTATATCTCTCGCGAAAATATTCTTGAGGAGGATTTTCATAATACTTGAGATGATTGTTTTGTTTACGCAGATGAATTATCTCAAATTCAGCTCTTGATAGAGGTTCTGGGTAATCAAACCAATCTTCCTCTGATGGCCTAGTCCATCCATTGCCATAGCCAGATCTTTTGAAGGATCTTTCGTTTTGTCTGACTTGTCCATTTCTCTGGCTTCCTTGATCAGGATTCTTTCGTGTTGGCTTTGGACGATATTGCCTCTGGTCAACATTCGACTTTTTCCTTGATTGAATATTCTTATTAGGCTGACCTTTTTTATGGTTTAGATTTTGTCTATTGTCATTTGGTCCATTCCTTTTGACATATTTTTGTCTAGGATTGCCTTTGTAAGATTTTTCATTTCGAGGGTCCACAATTCGTTGTACAGTCTTTCCTTTCGGTAGGCTTGTTGATTGTGGTGTGGCGACATTGTTAACTTTCGTCACAGGCTCAGACACCTGGGTTGGACCTTGAACAAATGCAGCTTGAAAGCTTTCATGAGAATAAGCCTTCGTGGATTTGTTCAAGCCGACTTGTGAAGAAGAGCTGGGGTCAAAACCAATTCCCGTTCTTTCCTCGGGCAGTCTAGATTCATTTATCATTCGGTCCATTAAATTGGACGAATTATTGAATTTATCTAAGACTTCAAGAAGTTCTTGCTCTCTCTTTTCTCTTGCTGTGCACTGCTCCTTTAGAGCGAGAACATTTTCCTCAAGTTGCTTCTTAGCAATGGTTAGCATTATGTTCTCAACTCGAACTTGCCTTAGCGCATTATAGCTAATCATAAGCCGAGAGTTCTCCTCCTTAAGCTTGGAGTGTGTGCTTTTGATCACTTTGAACTCCCTCATCATTTCGGTAATGGATTCATTGGAAGTTTGACTCCCTACAGAACTGGACTCTGCTGAATAACAAGAAGATGATTGAGAATTTACCTCATCCTCGTCAGCCATAAGGCATAGATCTTCTGATTCTTGGCTGAACAGGCATAGCAGTCCTTTTTCCTCTTCTGTGCTTTCGTCGTCTGAACTTGAGCTTGAGGAACTACTTTCGGCCTCAACAGTGTCATGAGTTTCGTTCACTACCATAGCCTTTCTTCTTCTTTCGTTTCTGGAGCTTGATGATTCTGGCTTGTCATTTCTTTTGTATCTCTCTCCAGTCTCCTTGGATGGGCTTTTGGTAGCGTTGCCATCTTGATGTTTGCTTACTATTGGATGAGGACAGTTGGCCTTGAAGTGTCCTGGTTTCCGACAGTTGTAGCACAGCAATTGCGAGTCTGAAGTTTCTGGCTTTGAGGTTTGAGGTGAGCTTTCGTGTTGCTTTCGGTGGCCCGAACGATGTGAGTCTTGAAAGTTGTTCTTCCTCATGAACCTCTTCATCTTCCTAACAAATAGGTCATACTGTTCATCAGATAAGAATTCACAAGAGTTAGATTTTGACCTGTTAGATGTTGTTGATTGTTGGTTGGCCACGAGAGCTACATTTCTCGTTTCTGATTCTTCGACATCTTTCGGTTCATGTTCAAACTCGTACGCCTTAAGATCACTGAAAATCTTGGTTGTGCTCGTCGTTTTCATGTCTCGGTTGTCTCTCATTGCAATGACCTTCATTTCCCAAGACTTTGGCAGACCACGAAGAATCTTCAGATTCTTTTCTTTCTCAGTTAGTTCCTTCCCGAGATATGACAGATCTCCCATGAGTCTGGTGAACCTCAGTTCCATGTCCATGATCGTTTCATTTGGCAACATTTTGAAGTCTTCAAACTTCTTCATAGCCACAGTTAGTTTGTTGTCCTTCTCCTGTTCATCACCTTCTCCCAGATTCATTAAAACGTTCCATATTTCCATGGCATTCTTGCATTTTCGGACTCTGGGGAGCAAAGAATCGTCAAGGGAGTTGTAGATGATGTTTCATGCTACATTGTCCAGGTTTGCCCTTGTCCATTCTTCCGAGGTATATTGATCTTTTCGCTTCGGTATCATCTACTCAGCACCGGCTCCTTGAGCTGCGGCTTGTGTGTTCGCCATCATGACTGTGATTGGTCCAGTTGTTATGACGTCCCACATCTCGTCATGTATGGAGCAGAGGAGGGCCTGCATTCTTATCTTCCAGTCATCAAATTTAGAGAGGCTAAAAGCAAGCTGCTTAGAGCGGTTAGCATGATCCTTTTCCATTTTGCAAAAAAATTTGTGCAAAGCTGAAAATATGCAAATTTTCAGAGATTTGATAAGGGATCTACCAGGCAGTAAATGTAAAGCCTTTACCGTTCAAGGTATTTGACTCTGATACCACTTGTTGGTAGGGATGGCAACGGGGCGGGGCGGGGGCGGGGAGTATACTCTCCGTCCCCGTCCCCGTCCCCAGCGGGGAATTGAAAGTGTTCCCTATCCCCGCCCCCGCGGGGAATTAGACGGGGTCGGGGATTCCCCATTCCCCGTCAACTCCTAGTCAAAATGTTAAATAATTTTAATTTTTAATAATAAAATTTGAAAATTTAAGTACTAGTTTCAAAAATTAAAATACTAACTAACTATATATATATATATATATATATATATATATATATATATATATATATATATATATATATATATAAAAGTACATAACAGTATACGATATATATGTGTGTAATGAACTATACATATATTTTATAATTAATGTTGACAGTATATATAATTGGCAGTTTTGCATTATAGTTCATTACACACATATATATCGTATACTGTTATGTACTTTTATATATATATATATATATATATATATATATATATATATATATATATATATATATATATATATATATATTCGGGGACGGGACGGGGCGGGGCGGGGCGGGGAGGGGTATCCCCGCTCCCGTCCCCGTTCCCGGCGGGGAATCGCACATATTCCCCGTTCCCGTCTCTGTCCCCCTAAAATTTTCCCCATCCCCGTCTCTTTCGGGACGGGGATCGGGGATCCCCGTCGGGGACGGGGCACATTGCCATCCCTACTTGTTGGTCCCGGTAGAGTTATAGCGAGAGCCTAGAGGGGGGGGGAGGGGGTGAATAGACTATTTTCGTGTTTTGCCGAAAAACAACCTTTCGGTGTTTTGGCGCAGCGGAAATGTTAAGTTCGTTTACTAGCTTTGCACGAGTTGTCGTTATTAGGAAACTTTCGTGTGAGATAATATGATGCAGGAAATAAATAAAGTAAATGAGAGGATAAGGAGACGAGAGTTTTTATAGTGGTTCGGCCAACTTTGCCTACTCCACTCTTCTTCCACAATTTATGGAAGGATTGCACTATCACTCGTTAGTACAATTACACAAAGACTTCCTTGATCACTAAGCCGGACAGCCTTCGTAGGTTTTTCAACTCCGCGAGTTTACTCCACCTCTATCAACGTCTTCTTCAGAGTTGAGGTTGGTAGAAAAAGATTTCTGATTTCTCCAACGTGATGAAGTCTTGACTGATGAGGAATGAGTGCTTCGTACAAGTTGCAAGACTTCTATAAGGTGTAAGATGAGTATCAATGAACTTCTTCAAGAATCTTTGCACCTTAACACTGGTTCACAAAAGCCTGAGAGAGCTGAGAGCGTTTAAGAGCTTTTGCTTATAGATAGATCGAGTGATAAGAACCAGCACCTTCTAAGTTGATGAAGGTGGATTTATATAGGTGAGGAAAATTCCACCCGTTGGAGGGAGATGAAATTTTCAAACCTATTGTCCAGTGGGTAAGGACCGGGGAGCTTCCCGCATTAAATGCTCCATTAATGAGGTTGTACCTTGTAGCCGTTGTTGGCATGGAGAGCCTTAGGGTTTTGTCCTTTAGCTTCAGGAAATAGTACATCTTCATTTAATGCTCCTTGGTATGTGTGTCCCACAAGTTGAGGTCCTTTTGTTCCTAGGATGTTGTCAAGTCAGACAGTGGAGACATTCTTCTTGCTATTAATGAGAAGGAATGTCTTGAAGGATTGTCATCAATAAGACTGTCCTTTCGTGCTAAATGACAACTCCTGGTTAACTCTCGTTGCAGTTGCTTCATGCTTCGTGTCTTCTTTCGTCTTGATAACCCTAACAACTAAGCATAACTCGTCTTCGTGTGTTTGACTAGCTTAACACGAATTACATGTGAGATATGGCAACTTTCGTCTAGGACGAAAGCGGCGATTGTAAATAATAACGGTTAGGGGTCTACTTTCTAGGTTACATTGGTATCATCAAAATCCTAATACAAGTTTTCCTAACACTTTGTGCTTTAGTAGGTTGAGAAAGTAGCTATGAACAGATACTACATTGTAACAGAGCCAGTAGCATTCAAAAAGTAAATGAGTCGATTTTAGTGAAATTCTATTAGATATTTTAATTTGGTTAGGGTATGGTTGTATACAATTATGATGACTTTTATAGAAGAAAGATCTGATGTGACTAGTGCTTCCTATATGGTCGTGGGGCTTTGCACCACTATGTATGCACAAATGCATTACCTCGTGTTCAGAAATAGTGGAGTAAAGCAGTATAACCGCACGAAAAGCAATAGCCGCATATGAACCAACTTCAACTTTTATATATATATACTTCAAGATTTAAAACTTTCAAGTAGCCAATGGTACTAAATTAAAATTTTTAAACAATCTTTAAAAATTTGATGATACTCATATTATTTGATTTATATTTTTAAAGAGTCTTTAAAAGTTTGTTGATATTTTTTTAAAATTATGAACTTTTATAATCTCTTTCATATTTAAACTTTTATAGAATTTTTCCTCAAGCAAACTTCTAAACTTTTTGTTTTTGACAAACTCTATAAACTTTTTTCTTAAATAAACTTTACAAACTTTTCCTTCTACCTTAATACTTCTTTTCATTTTTAACTCTACAGACTTTTCCTCCGCTCTTTACGACACCAACTTGATTAGCAATCAAACCACTAACATACATAACAAACCAAAAATGTGTAAGAATCACTTTTCCAATTAAACTACACTAATTAACAACTAATTTTATGATATTGGAAAGAAACTCAATAATTCAGTATTAGCAATTTAGCATCAAACCAATTGCGATCATTTTCTTTTCAAATCATCCAATTACCAAAAAAAAAAAAAAAAAAAAATCATAAAATGTAACTCAAATAATTTTCTTTTAGTTTGGGGAGAGATAATATTTTGTGACTATAGGAGAAATGCTTGTATGATATAAGACTAGATGAGCCCCAACCTCCGGGGGATTGCTCTAGTCGATGAAAATAATTATTTATGATTTTTTTTTTCTATTTTTAGCATTATAGTGGAGATTTGAGTTTAGATTGGATTCATTGTGAATAAAATGAAGGGTATAGTTTTCTCTTCATAAGCTTGAAGAGAGGGTCCATGACATTTAATATATATTCCATCTATCTAATTTTATCTGTTATACTTAGTTTCTTTAATATTTTTTTTACTTATTTTTAAATATAATTTTTTTGTATTTAATAGTATTTTTCTTATAGTTTTTAAATATATAAATTTTGTATATTAATACTAAATTTAATATTGTGAAAAATTAGATTAAAATAATTTCAGTCAAATATCTTTAATCAAATCAGATATATAAAATGAGACGGATAAAGTATAAGTTAATGAAATCAAGATTAGAATAGAATATAAGATTAGATGAATGGAAGAGTAGAACACTGCAGGGTGCGGTGAGCAATCGTTTTCATTGTGCATGCAAGCACGAGAATAGGTAGGGAGAGAGAGAGAGGTACGTTAGATTCGTCATTCCGTGGGCCCCATTTCACTTTCTGGCTTTTGGAGCATCCACATTTGTTGGGGAGAATTGTGGGATAATGTAAGAGTGATTAGGAAAGAGAAGATGGGAAGGGAGAGAAAAAAAGGAAAAAAAATAAAAAGGAAAATTAAATTTTTTAAAAAAAATAAAAAAAATTAAGACTGTCAGGCGCGCCTGAGCAGTGCACGCGCCCGCTGTGCGCTATGGTGACAGCCACGTCCTTTTTTTTTTACTTTTTGTGGTGGGTCTCACCATTTCTGAATTCTTCCTTCATTTGTAGGAGAGTTATTTCTCAAATAATTCTTCCCCACATTAGCTATTATCTTGGGTGGGGAGAATTAATTCTGAAATAACTCTATATAATCCACAAATGTGGATGCTCTTAGTACTAGTTATCATGTATGATGCCACACCAGAGTTGTTAATTTGTTATACCATGGACCAGGTTTCACCTAGTAAGGTGGATTCTTATCTTAAACGATGTATAAATTGTGTATTTTTAATATTAGAATTGTGAACTTTTAGAATATAAATTGTGTTTCTAAGTCAAAACACATAACAAGAATTTGTGAATATAATACATGGTCATCAAATCCTAATATGTTAATATTGTGTGACTATACTATTTGAAAGGAACTTGTGAATGCAAAACAATGTAATACATTACATTATACAAATTATGAATTTTTAAAAGGTAAATTGTGAACATTTAGACCCGAGTCCACAAAATAATTTACGTGCCACACAATAATGTTTGAAAATTGGGTGATGTTATAACATATATACACACACACACATACATACATACGCGCGCACACACACTTTTGGTGCATAAGTTGAAATTCTCGCCCTTGAAATCTTCATATCCTAGTGCTGAAGAAAATTGATTTCTCCATATATATAAATGAATGATGCAGAATGTTAGAGAGAATGAAGGAATAAATATGACATAAGATTTAAAGTGAAAATCAAAACGATAAAAATAATGAGTATTTTAAGTTAAATGAAGTCAAAATTCACTATGTATACTGCAGGTACATATATATAGGTAATCATGACCATGGAGTGAAAAGGAAAAAAAAAAAAAAAATACGTAGAAGAAAAATTATTTGGGACTGAAGTGACTAGTGAGCCTCAAATCCTTTATATGATCCCTGAGCCTTTATATAATGTATCTCTTTTTCCAGTTGCAACTTTCTCTAATATAAAGGCTGTTGGTAAAATAGTATTAAAATGACATTTTAAGTGGCTATTTTGTGGTACAATTATTAGTGGGGTCCACTTCTGATTTGGGTCGGGTCAAAGTGATTTCGGGTTCTTCGTAGTGAGACGAAGAGATTGATATATTGTACGCTCAAAATGGATAATGGGTGAATGAGATATTGATTCTCAAAGTAGACCATTGAGTTGGAAAAATGAAGGAAAAAAGAATGAGTTTTTGTCCCACATTGGTTTGGGAAGTGGATTTGCACCGTATTTATACAAGAATCTTTCTAAAACTTATTGAATTGTATAGCATAGAGGCTTTCTTTCGAGTGTAGGGGGTGCAAACAAGGACGGACTTAGCATGTGGGCTGCTGGTATAGTTAGCCTATATATAAACCGCCACTGGGTGCAAATCAAATCTCAAACTGAACCTTTCGATTCGAGCTTGACTAGTGTACGCCGGTGCCTCCGGTCAAACTCAATTGAGCCTTTCGATTCAACCTTGACTAGTGTACTCCGGTACCCTCTTCCCTTCTTCTCCTCTTTCGATTTTGGAATTATTCTTTTAAGCAATAAATCCTTACTCTTTTCTTGTTGGTTGGAATTATAATCTGGAACATTATAAATTCCATTTTGGTTGTTATATATATATATATATATATATATATATATATATATATATATATATAGTATTATTTTTTATAAATTGACTTGGTTCAAATTTTTTCCTCCACATAATTTTCGTACTTTCTTGGATTGACTCTTTTTTGCTACATTCATCTTCATAAATAATAATAATAATAATAATAATAATAATAATAATAATAATAATAATAATAAACCTTGATTTTGTACAATAGCTTGTAAATCATGGGAAAGATAAATAGTACTAAAAACACCATGTGCGATGGACTTAACGAAAATGATATTGACAAGAATTAAACTTGTGATCTTATGGTGAAGTCATTAAAAAAAAAAAATGACCTCAATAAATAAATATTAAAGTTAAAATGAAAAGAGTGAGTTGAAATTTGGTGTGTCTCTACTTTCTATCCTGTTTTTCTACTTTTGGGGTCGGCTTTGCAAGGTGATTACGTTTCCGCAGATGCCAACTGAAAATAATTATATTCTTGGCGGCTAAGTTTTCATGGAAAAATATGGATGGATTTCAACTACACAAACTACCTTAATTTTCATCCAAATCTAGTTTGGGTCTTAGGGAATGCAGGGCAGGGTGAAGTGAGCCCGAAACTTGAAGGGGTCCCTAGCTAGTTCCAAACTAGCTCAAGAATTATTAATTTTTTATAATAAAGATATAAAAAAAAAGAATTTATATATAAGTAATGATTTGAACCCATAATTTCAAATTTATCTTTGAATTTATTTTATTTTATTTTTTTCATAAGGATTTAATATTTTTTATACATAGGATCTTACTCTCATTTAGAATTAGTACTCCCATGAGAACATAAAGATTAATCTCATATGTCTATAGGGTTAGAAATTAAGAAAGTTTTGTAAAAATGCAACAATATTTTTATAATTATGACATTACATTTAAAAATCACTAACAACTATTTACCAAACATCAAAACACCCCCCTATATATATATGGACAACCCTAATATGCTCATAGTTTTTCCACCTTTGCACATTTCCTGATGAGTATTGCAAATTCAGTAACCCTGCAGTCTGCAGAGCATACAAGAACATCAAAGCAAATAATAATGAACAGGATTGATAATGAATACTATTCTCAATAGCTTATTGTTCCAAATGACAAGTATGAAAAAACTGCATGAACCATCAAAATACATGCAGTGCAGTAATTAATAAAGCACATGTTTCGTATATTGGCATCAGATGATTACACTCAAAATCAGGAAAACATTTAATATAACATTGAGAGACACTACTACTCGTTGAAAACTAAAATTAATCATCAACCTCAGCTCTAATTTCCCTTTGCAGCTCTTCTTTGTACTCATCAAAGGTTCCTGGGAATGACATCACAGTTCCATTTTCCACAACCCAAATTTCACTCACTTCTTCATCCTCACAGACACGTGATATAAGCCTCGAGTCATGACTGACTAGCACAACTCCACCTGTGAATTCATCAAGTGCATCTGCCAATGCATCAATACTCTGCATATCCAAATGGTTTGTTGGTTCATCTAACAGAAGAATGTGAGGTTTTGACATTGAAATTGAGGTAAAAACAACCCGTGCTTTTTGCCCTCCTGATAACTTTGCAATCTGGGTTAGGTGGTTGTGGCTGGGGAGACCAAATTTCCCAAGCTTTGCACGAACTGCCTCTTGTTTACTAGGTCCCTCTTGATCAGGATGAAGACGGAGAAGGTACTGAACAGCTGTTTCGTCCATTGTCAAAAGATCTACAAAGTGTTGTGAATATCGTCCAATCCTCAGCTTTTGACTCCTCCGCACTTCTCCCTCCGCAGGAACCAAGTCACCAGCAAGAAGGTTGAGTAAAGTAGATTTTCCAGCACCATTGGGCCCAACAATGGCAACTCGAGTCCCCATATCAATGCCAACATCAACATTAGAGAGCCTGAAGTCCTCTCGGTTTGGATAAGAAAAGCTGACTTCTATTAACTGCATTAATGGAGGAGTCAGTTCAGTGGGCTCAGGGAAGTGAAACTCCACAGTGTAGTCCCTCCATTTCTGGGGGGCCTCAGCCAGGGGCTCATCCTCATCAACCCTGTCCTTGGCCTTTTTCTTTGATTCTTTTGCAGCAGCAAATTTGGCCCGGTCCTTGACCTTCTCCTGTTGTGCACGATTGCCAGATCTCTTGGCAGCTTTCAACTGCTTATCATATACCTCAAACTTTTTGTTCATCTCTTTGCGACGTTGCTCATAGCCACTCTCAAAATCATCAAAGTTTCCACGGTAAAAATGGAGTTTCATGTCATGGAGATGAATAATCTCAGTGCAAACTGTGTTGAGAAAATCACGGTCATGGGAAACAACAACAAGAGTTTTCTTCCATCTGCACAAGTACTCCTCCAACCACAGAACAGCCCTAAGGTCAAGATGGTTGGTAGGTTCATCCAACAGCAATAAAGTAGGCTGAACAAAAAGTGCCCGGGCCAGTGAAATTCTCATCCTCCAACCACCACTAAATGATCGTGTTGGGCGACCTTGCATTGCCTTGGTAAAACCCAATCCAGCAAGAATTTTAGATGCTTGAGCCTCAGCAGCATCTGACCCCATTATCTCCAATTTATCATACAACTCAGCTAGCTTCTCTCCCACATCATTCCCACCATCATCATCATCTTCATCCTCACCAACAGAAGCAGCTAAATCCTGCAAAGATGCAGCCTCTTGACGGGTCTTGATGAGTTCTTCATTAGCTGAAACAACAGCTTCAAGGGCAGTCTTGTCATCACCAACAACCTCCTGTTCAACCAAGAGAACATCAATATTTTTTGGCACAGGAATTTTCCGCCATGCAAGTAGCTTTAAAAGGGTGGACTTCCCCTTTCCATTAGGGCCAACCAGTCCATATCTCTTGCCATGAGAGATTTTTACAGAGCAATTCTTTAAAAGCTCCTTTCCCCGAGCTGAAACAGAGAAATTATCTACTGTGATGTCCTTAACATTAGCATCTGCATCGTCTTGACCATCAAGAACAGAAGCGCGGCTGCCAATAACAACAGTAAAGGCATCATGATCATCCTTGAGAGCCTCCTTCTTCGCCAGCTCAGCAGCATGGGCAGCTAGCATGTCTTTCTTTTCCCGTTTCTTCAACTCTTTATCAGTAACTGAGATTTCAAGGGTATCTGTGTCTTTTTTGTTACGCCTACCAGTCTGTTCATCATTTTCTACAAGACCCTCTACCTCATCCTCATCATCTGAGGGAGGAAGATCCATGTCATCAGTGTAAGATGAAGCTTTTGGAGGTGCTTTAGGTCTAGAAGAAGACCCTTTCTTGGGCTTATCAGGTTTCTGGTCCATACTAGCAAGCATTGCAGACACTGAAATCTTCTCTTTCTTTCCATCTTTGCCACTGCCCTTAGTCTTACTGGCTCCAACTTCATCAGATGCTGATTTCTTCTTCCCCATTTAAATAGTTGAGATTTGGCACTAAAAATTGCAAATAAAAAAAAAAAAGGTTAGCCATCAAAACTCTTTAAACCTAGTAAAATTACCTTAAGTAATAAAGACCAGAGACAACAAATCAACAATGCCAGCACCAAGGTTGGTTAACTATGTTTTATTGCTCTTCAAGGATGAAGATACTTAAAAATATTAATATTGAAGGTAAATTGTTAAAGAGAAGAAACTGCAGCAAGAAACAAATCAAAAGATCTAGTGCAAATAATCAGATTGCAGTGATATCTAATGAAGCAAATATGCAATATCAGCAACAGACAAGAAATTACAAAAGTCGAGCTAGGACACAATTAACTACTTAAATCAACTACAAACTTGAAAATAGAATTTATTTTTCCAGATTACTAACCGGGTAAAGAAGAAAACATTCGATCAAAAATTGCAAAAGAATGATTTTCAAAGCAAAATATTCAATAGATTTTGAATATACACGTAACTTTTTTCAAGAACGTAAATGAAAAACTAAAATATCCCAGATAGGCGAATAAATCTATAAATCCCAAAAAAAAAAAAATTATAAAAAAAAAAAAAAAACTAAAATCTCCCAGAGAAATCTACGCGACAAGAAATCCCATAAAAATCGAACAAAATACTAACACTATTTTTCACTTAAACCTAAAATTCTACCAGAGTAAAGCTAAGATCGAACATATTAACTCCAAGCATCCCAACAAATCAAAGCGTTTTGAAACCAAAACATAGCCCCATGCGCGAATCAAACACATAACAACGGATAAAAAAAATTAAAATTCAGTGGAGATCTTAGGAAAGTACGAACCTTTGGGATCAGAATCGAGAGAACAAAGCGAACAAAAGGCAGATAAGATAACAGAGAATCAGAAGTCCGTTGTTGAGCAAATCTGTGGAATTTTGTGAGGGGAGTGTGACTAGGGTTTGTTTTAAAGTGCGCCTAATTCTAATCCCAGTAGAATTCTGTTTTTTCTTTAAAAAATAATAATAATAATAATCCTTTATGGGTCGGATTTAGAAAGACACGGTCTCAACTTTTGGGTTCAGGCCCAACTTATTGGGCTCTATCATTTCCAATACTCGATTTTTTATTTTTTATTTAGTTTTGGAAAATTCAGCGCTGTTTTTTTCTTTTTTTTTTTCTTTTGTGGCCGTGGGTAATATGAATCGCAAACTGTGTTGTGAAAACGTGTTCACATACTTGGTGAACACGGTTCCAAACAGTATTGTTTTTATTGAAAAAAAAAAAATTAGTTAATGTGTTGTTAACGACGTTTTGCATTCTATGTTCAGACTATGAATTTATATTTATTAAATTATAAATTTTCTGTTATGAGATTATGAATTTACAGTTATGTAATTATGAATTTTCTGTACATTCATAATTTCATAACAGGAAATTTATAATTTCATAACTGCACATTCATAAATTCATGCCTACACATTTATAATTTATGAGTGTTGAAGAAACTTGCACAAAGAGGAAGTGAAACTGCAAAATGTGAATATGAAGAAGAAAAGTTGCGCTGTTAATTAAAAAAAAAAAAAATTGGTGGAAGATAATGATACCCGTAGGCACAGTTACCATTTGGGACCGTGTTCACCAAGGATTGTTCCATGGCATAGCGATTGAATATGAATATCCCAATTTATTTTAATCTAAAATTGATGTCTGACATTTTCCTCTCTCAATCCTATCATGTCTTCTTTTTCTACTTTTAACACAAAACGTCACTCAATAGGCCAACCTCAATAATCAAGTATGTTTTCTCAAAACTCTCTTGTCAATTTTATTGCTTTCAATTCAATTATAGGGTTTTATTTACAGTGTTACATAAATTTTTAAAAACAAAATTTGAATTTGGTCTATGTATTTTCAAAAGCAAAATTTGTATTGCATAAGTATAACATATTTGCCTAAATTTTCATTCTTTATATCTATCAGCCGATGGTGTATGTACATTAATGATAAATATGGGCATTTTGAACTTTATACTACTTTCTTTCAATTCTCATGTATACCAAATATTGGAATTGAAATTTCCCGTAATTATATTCTTGCAAACCAAACATTAGAATTTAAATTTTCACATTATTCATCTCCCATGAAATTGCAATTCTTTCATATCCTAATTTCCTCTCAAAACCAAATACCCCGTTATTGAACGATACTTTGGTTGTAATGTTTATCCGTTACTATTATTATAACATTAAGATAAGTTATGATAATATTCAGTATTTGATATGTGGTGCAACACTAATAACCTAATAACTAGACTACCATTATAATAAGGAGTCTAGTTAGGGTTTAGGAGACCTAAAGACAATCAACCACAATGATGGCCAGTTAGGGGTGTCAATACGGGCCGGCCCGCCTCATTAGGCCCACCCCACCGCGGGCTTTTTATTTGGCGGGCTTTGGCGGGTCGGCCCGCGGGCTTGGAACTATACAATCCAAGCCCGCCCCATGCGGGTTTGCGGGTCTCGCGGGCTGGCCCGCGGGCCATCACTTAAGTTTTAAAAAAAACATTAAATAGTATATAAACATGTTAAAACCGCTTGAAATATGGCACCGGAAACTTCCATAAAATCCATAAACCTCACCCAAATATCCTGGATCGATACCGCGCGTTCAGCAGAACTGTAGAAGGGTGATCAAAGCTAGGGTTCAACAGCACACTCGATTTCTCTCTCGGCTTCAGATTTTCCCTCTACAATTCCCGTCTGTGTATAATACATATATAAATATGTATGTTTGCTTGCCTTAGAGGCGATTTAGTAATTCATAAATATGTATGAATTGATGATTTAGATTTAGTAATTATTTGATAGAGTTGGAGGCGGATAGAGACGGGAGAACCGAAGAACTACGTACTCTAGGAATTATTGAATTAAGAATTGGCGAAGGATTATTGAATTATTGGATTTCTCCCCTTCTGCGTACTCTTAGATAGTTAGATCTACACATTGCCTAAGAATTAAGATATTATATATATGGCCAAGCACCTTGTGCTCAGATGGCATGTAGTGACCTCTCCCATGTGGGAAGTCATGAGATCGAGCCTCAGTGGAGGCGTTGTTGACTCTTTGTGCTTCATTAGGTTGAGAAAGTATATTTGAACAGATACTACAATGTAATAGAGTCAGTAGCATTCAAAAAAACAAAAAAGATATTATATATATAATTTATTTATTTATTTTTTAAATATGGCCTGACCCGCGGGCTAGCCCGCAACCCGCGCGGACCATGCCCGTTAGGCCCGCATTTTCGCGAGCCTAATTTCTTGCAGCCCTAACCCGCCCCATTGCAGGGCGAGTGCGGGCTAACCCGCGGGCTTTGGCCCACTTTGACACCCCTATGGCCAGTGGTTATATAAGGTCACTAGTCCTCTCACTGCTCACATTACATACCTTATACACCATCTAGAGAGAGTTGAGTAAAGTGTGAGACAAAATACTCGTTATCTCTGCAGCAGTCCAGATCGCTCAACCGTATCAAGAACTATGGCTGGAGGTTAGTCGATCATATTATCACATAGTATAGTGATGCATGTGATATTTTAGTCTAACAGTTGGTATCAGTCGCCATAAAAAATCTCTGATTCTCTGTCTATTTTTTTTAATTGCTTAAATATTTGCATATTTTATATACTTTGTTATATAATTGAGATTATGTGAATATTTTTGAGTTCGCAATTAAATTATTTGGATTGCTGGAAATTTGGTGTTTTCTTTTTCCGCATTAAGTATTAAAAACAAAAAGAAAAAGAAAATTATATTGGTGTTATGTAACATAAGGAAAATTGTAGCTATTGGGAATAGAACACGTGCATTAATATATGACAAGGCAAAGCTACATGCTAAGTAACCAACTAGACTAGCTTCAACATCTATTTATGCTATGCAAATTATATATTTGTTTATTCCTAGTCCTGATAGTATAAATACCCCCTTCACTCCTTGTATCAAAAACACATCAGAAGCAATATATAAGAAATATAGCAATCCTCTCTTCCTCTCACTGAGCTAATATAGCTACTATTGTATTGCATCTTACTAATAATAATATTACTATTATTATTATTAAATTCATAACACGTTATCAGCACGAAGTTTCGGGTGCAGCTATTACAGAGGTAATCTTTCTTTAAATAATTATAATATTTTATTCAATATTACCAATATGTCAAACCTTACAAATCTTGAATTTGTGGGACTTGATATATCCGGGAAAAATTACCTGTCATGGGTACTGGATGCTGAGATGCATCTAAATGCAAAAGGTCTTGGTGAAACTATAAAGAAAATAGTGATGCGTCGATGCAAGATCGAGCAAAGGCGATGATTTTCATTCGCCATCACCTAGACCAAGGGTTAAAAGATGAATATCTTACTGTGAAAGAACCCTGTCAACTCTGGAAAGATCTGAAAGAAAGATATGATCACCAGAAAACAGTAATTCTCCCAAAAGCCCGTTATGATTGGCTTCACTTGCGATTGCAAGATTTCAAAACTGTGAGTGAATATAACTCTGTTATGTTCAAAATTACCTCTCAGTTGTTACTATGTGGAGAAAGAATTACTGATGAAGATATGCTTGAAAAAACATTATCCACATTTCATGCATCAAATATGGTGCTGCAACAGCAATATAGAGAGAAAGGTTTTACCAAATACTCTCAATTGATTTCATGCCTTCTGGTGGCTGAACAAAATAATGAGCTGTTGTTGAAAAACCACGAGTCACGCCCTACTGGCTCAAACCCATTCCCTGAAGTGAATGAGGTATCATTGTATAATGAAAATACAAAGGGCAGTGGTCGTGGCCATGGACGCGGTCGTCGTCATGGAAAATACCGTGGTAAAAATCCCGGTCGTGGTCAAAATCGTTATGGTGGTCAAAACTTCAAAAATAAAAGTTACCACCGAAAAGGGGAAAGTGCTGGTGCAAGATACGACAAGGAAAAGCGTGAAAATTATCCCAAGAATGAAAGTATATGTTATCGTTGTGGCAAGACTGGCCATTGGGAACGCGCTTGTCGTACATCAAAGCACTTTGTGGATCTCTATCAAGCTTCCTTGAAAGGAAAAGAAAAAAATATAGAGTCCAACAATGTTTTCATGGATAACGATTTTGATATCACACAGCTGAATGTGGAAGATTTCATTGAGCCAGTTGAACATCAAGTCTGATGTTTTTATCTTGGAGACCTGTTAGTTCCTTCTTGTTATCCTTGTAATATTTCTAATATATGTTATTTCTTTGTTTTGTACTTGTTGAAGAAATAAGATGAATACATCATCACTTGTGATAAAATCTAAGGCAGATGAAGAAGATGTATGTATTGTGGATTGTGCAACCACACATACAATTCTCAAAAGAGAAAAATATTTTAACCTCTTGAAAAGAAATGAGGCATATGTCACTACAATATGTGGTAGTGCAAAAATGATTGAAGGCTCTGAAAAAGCCTATATATTATTGCCTGGGGGAACAAAATTGATGATTGACAATGCATTGTTCTCTCCAAAGTCTCAAAGAAATTTGTTGAGCTTTAAAGATATTCGAAAAAATGAATATCATGTTGAGACTATAAAAGAAGGGAATCAAGAATTCCTTCAAATTACAAAGGCAATATCGGGAAAGAAATATGCGATGGAAAAATTCCATGCTCTTCCCTCTGGATTATATTGCACAAAAATAAGTGCAATCGAAGCCAATCTTATAGTAAACTAAAGGTTTACTGATTTAAATGATTTTAAGATTTGGCACGACCGATTGGGTCATCCAGGATATGTGATGATGAGAAAAATCATCGAAAGCACAAATGGCCATACCTTGAGGGAACATAAAATATTTCGAACAGATGAATTCTTCTGTTCTGCATGTTCTCAAGGGAAATTAATAATAAGGCCATCACCAACCAAAGTTGGTATAGAATCACCGTCATTTCTTGAAAGAATTCAAGGTGATATATGTGGACCGATACATCCACATAGTGGACCATTTAAATACTTTATGGTCCTGATTGATGCGTCAACTAGATGGTCGCATGTGTGCTTATTATCATCTCGTAATATGGCATTTGCGAGATTGATTGCACAAATAATAAAATTGCAAGCCCATTTTCCTGACCATCCAATTAAATCAATCCGGATGGATAATGCTGGAGAATTTACATCCCAAGCTTTTGATAATTATTGTATATCACTTGGGATTGACGTTGAACATCTGGTAGCGCATGTTCATACGCAAAATGGTCTAGCAGAATCACTTATCAAAAGGCTACAATTGATAGCTAGACCATTACTTATGAAAAGTAAACTCCCATCAAATGCATGGGGGCATGCTATTTTGCATGCAGCGGCGCTAATTCAAATTAGGCCGACAAGTTATCATAAGTATTCTCCATTACAATTAGCCTTTGGTCAGGAACCTAATGTTTCTCATTTGAGAACATTTGGCTGTGCAGTATATGTCCCTATTGCTCCACCACAACGGACTAAAATGGGTCCTCAAAGGAGATTGGGAATATACGTTGGCTATGAATCTCCCTCGATAATTAAATATCTTGAGCCATTAACGGGAGATATGTTTACTGCAAGATTTGCAGATTGCCATTTTGATGAAGCATCCTTTCCAACATTGAAAGGAGAAAATAAAGTTGTGGAGATGAAATTGACTTGGAATACTCCATCATTGCTTCATCTAGATCCTAGAACTCAACAATGTGAACAAGAAGTTCTAAGGATAATTCAGTTGCGTGAATTGGCAAATAAACTGCCAGACGCATTTGTTGATCCGAAAAGGGTAACAAAATCTTATATCCCAGCAACTAATGTTCTTGCTAGTATTGACATTCCAAAAGATCAAACTGGGAATGAATCTCAAGTACGCTTAAAGCGTGGAAGACCTATTGGTTCGAAGGATAAAAATCCTCGAAAAAGAAAGGTCAATACAAAGAATGATCTTTGTGAGAAAAATGCGAAAACTCATAAAAATGAGTATGAAAGGAATGAAATTCCTAAAGAGATTCATTCGCCAGAAATTGAGAAAAATGAAGAGATCTTGATGAATTATACTAATGCTGAAGATATATGCAATAGAAATGAAGTCATTGTGAATGACTGTTTTGCATATAATGTAGCATTGAGTATCATGAATGATGATATGGAACATGAACCAAGATCCATTCATGAATGTCAAAATAGGGACAATTGGCCTAAATGGAAAGAAGCAATTCAAGCAGAATTGAATTCGCTTGAAAAACGAAAAGTATTTGGCCCAATCGTCCGAACACCTAAAGAGGTAAAAGCTGTGGGATACAAATGGGTCTTTGTAAGAAAAAGAAATGAGAACAATGAGGTTACGAGGTATAAAGCAAGACTCGTAGCACAAGGATTCTCTCAAAGACCAGGTATCGATTATGATGAAATATATTCACCTGTTGTGGATGTTGTAACATTACGATACCTCATTGGCCTAACTGTGCATGAAAGATTAAAAATGCAACTAATGGATGTTGTAACAGCTTATCTGTATGGGTCACTTGATAGTGACATTTACATGAAAGTCCCTGAAGGACTGAAAATGCCTGAAAGGCATAAAACAAGCCCTCGAGAACTTTACTCGATAAAGTTACAAAGGTCTTTATATGGACTAAAACAATCAGGGCGAATGTGGTATAACAGACTCAGTGAATATTTACTGAAAGAAGGTTATACCAATGATCAAATTTGTCCATGTGTTTTTATAAAAAGATCTGGGCATGGATTTGTCATAATCGCTGTTTATGTTGATGATATGAATATCATCGGGACTCCTGAGGAAATTCCCAAAATAGTAGATTATTTGAAAAATGAATTTGAAATGAAAGATCTTGGAAGAACAAAATTTTGTCTTGGTTTACAGATTGAACATTTGAATAAAGGTATCTTTATTCATCAATCAAATTATACCAAGAAAGTTCTTCAAAGATTTTATATGGACAAGGCTCGCTCATTGAGTAGTCCAATGGTGGTTCGAACTCTTGATGTGAAAAAGGATCCTTACCGACCTCGGGAGGATAATGAAAAAATCCTTGGTTCAGAAGTACCATATCTTAGTGCAATAGGCGCACTAATGTACCTTGCTAACAACACAAGGCCTGATATTGCATTTTCTGTTAATTTGCTGGCAAGGTATAGTTCTTGTCCAACAAGAAGACATTGGAATGGCATCAAACATATATTTCGCTACCTCCAAGGAACAATTGATTTGGGATTATTTTATACAAAAGATTCCAAATGTGACTTGGTTGGGTATGCAGATGCCGGGTACCTTTCGGATCCGCATAAAGCGCGATCCCAAACTGGTTATTTGTTTATAAGTGCAGGTGCTGCTATATCTTGGCGTTCCACTAAGCAGACCATTGTTGCCACTTCTTGAAATCATGCCGAACTAATTGCTGTCCATGAAGCAAGCCGGGAATGTGTATGGCTTAAATCAATTACTCGATATATTAGAGGAACATGTGGTTTACTGTTAGATAATACTCCAACAACAATATATGAAGATAATGCTAAAGATAATGCAGCATGTATCGCTCAATTAAAGGAGGGATACATCAAGGGAGACAGGTAAAACACATTTCACCAAAATTCTTCTTCACTCATGACCTCCAGAAGAAAGGTGAAATCATTATTCAACAGATTCGTTCAAGTGAGAACTTAGCAGATCTGTTCACCAAAGCATTACCTACGACTACATTCAAGAAATTAGTCTGTGGAATTGGTATGCGTCATCTTAAAGATCTTCAATGATGTCTTCATCAGGGGGAGCATATTATTGTACTCTTTTTCCCTTGACCAAAGTTTTTTTTCCCACTGGGTTTTTCTTTGGCAAGGTTTTTAATGAGGCAAGTGATCTTGCTTTAAAGAAGGAGAAAGAGCAGGAGCACAAACATAAGAAGGAGGAGCAAGCACGAACAAGAAGTCTTGCTCCTGAAGAGCACAATACTCAAGTCAAAATTGTAGCTGTTGGGAATGGAACACGTGCACTAATATATGACAAGGCAAAGCTACATGCTGAGTAACCAACTAGACTAGCTTCAACATCTATTCATGTTATGCAAATTATATATTTGTTTATTCCTAGTCCTGATAGTATAAATACCCCCCTTCACTCCTTGTATCAAAAACACATCAAAAGCAATATATAAGAAATATAGCAATCCTCTCTTCCTCTCACTAATAATAATATTACTATTATTATTATTAAATTCACAACAATTGGATAATTATTTTGGTCAGCGTTGCTGTAGTTTTTTAGACGAAGAAGGTGAATGAAGATGATGGTGTAATGGGCCAGGTCTGGCTATTTGGGCTAGACCTGGGCTCATTATTTTATATATATATATATATATATATATATATATATATATATATATATATAATAACAATTTTTTTACTAGACCTGTTTTGGTTTTGGGTCAAATCTGAATTGATATTTGGACTACATCAATTTATTCAGTTTAATATCTTCATCATATTTGGACTTCTTCTAATTATAAATTATCCAATTGAAATTTTTTTTATTTTTTTTATATTAAGTCTATTGTTAAATTATTATTCAACTTTGAATAATTATTCAGTTTTAATTTTCAGTTGAATTTTAATTTAATAATGTTTTTCAGTTTAAATTGTATTAAGTGTTGCAATTTAATTGTGGAGTATTTGTGAGTAATATGCATAATCTGAGCGGATTAATATTTGATGCACTGTCGGTGTATAGATGCTATACACCGGCGGTGAAGGAGAAGATGCCACATCATTAAAAAAATAAAGTCAATATTAATCAGGTCCTTTTTTGCAAAATATCTAAGACTTGTATTTTATTAGGTAAGTCTTTTATTTCTAATTAACAAAATATATCTACATTCCTAAACATATTTATTACTTGATTATTATATATCTAATTATTAACAATTTTACACTTGCAAGTTCAATTCTACGACAGTGACAATGAAACCTGTATCATCCTTATGATTAATAATATTGTTAACATGTTCTTTACTTAAAATTAATAAGAATTATAATTGAATTAAAAAAATTTAATTTTAATTAACAAAAATCATCTAATTTCTTATATTTATCTAAACTCCTAAATCTATTTAAACCCCTAACCCCCTAAATTTAAATTACAACATTAGTCACTATTACAAACAATTGCAACATCTTGTAAGAATATATATTCAATAATGTAAAAAAATCAACACTTAATCAAATATTATATAATAATCAAATTATATCTTAAAACTTATTAAAAAGTTAAAATGTAAATTCAACACAACAGTATCCAATAATGTAAAAAATCAAATTTGTAAACTAGGATGATGAAACATAAAACGAGCCACAAATTTGGTGAGGAGCCACGAATTGTTTCTAATAATGACTAAGGTTGTAATTTAAATTTAGGAGTTTAGGGATTTAAATAAATATAAGAATTTAGATATATATAAAAAGTTAGATGATTTTTGTTAATTAAAATTAAAAATTCTTAATTATAAATATTATAGTTTAGAAATTCAGTTCAATTAGAATTATAAATTTTAAGTAAAGAACCTTTTAACATTATTTGTCAATCATAAGGAGGGTCGTTATATCCTAGCACCCTACACCACGGCGCGCGTAGCACTGTGTGCCTCGCGTCTCCTAAAACGATATCATTTTGGTAAGTTATGTAGGGAGTTGACGTGATTATGTGCATTGTTTATACAATTATGTGTATTTGTTTATACAAT